GGAGTCGCGTGATGTCCGAGATCAATCAATATCAGATCACCGCAGACGAGATGGGAGGATTATTCCTTCAAAGTTCGTTCGTCGCGCCCGCTGGAGTCGACCCGAACACTTTTGAATTCTCAGTTGATCAAAACCTTGAATTGAAAGAAAAGCCGACGTTCAGTGATGTTGCGACTGTAATCCAAGCGGCATCCAGCAAGTCGAAAAACAAATCCTCGGTCACAACAGACGGATTCCAACCAATGGATATCGACTCGCTCAACGCTATGCGCACTGGCCACGCGGCACTATACGCTGCCCCGCATAGAAGATATCAATCGGCTCCGAAACCCGAGCAGAAGCCATCTCTATCAATGGAGAAAGCGGAACGGTTCCGAGGAAGACCCCTCAACGAATCCCTCAAGAATCGATACGGCAATTCCTGCCACTACTGCAAGCAAGCAGGCCATTGGTACAACAACTGCAAGGCTTACTGGAGCGATGTTGAACGCGACGTGATCGATGCGCCACCGAAGGATTTCGAGTCGCCGTCGTCAAACTACTTACCACCGAACAGACCTCAACAGCAGCAACATCACCGACTTCGCCAGCTCGATGTGCCTGAAATCTCTGATGGAAGAATCCTACTTGACTCGGGAGCCTCAACTCACGTGAGTGGATCACTTCAGTTCTTTACTTCAAAAGAAGAACTCCCGATACCCCGAACAATACAACTAGCCGTTACTGACTGTACAGTCGTTGTTAGATTCAAGGGGACTCTGTCGATACCGACACCGAAGGGGACGATAAAAATCCATGATGTCTATCACTGCCCTGGAGTCGATGGAATCATCTTGTCGGTTGGGAGGTTGACTGAAGCCGGTTGGGAATTGAAATTTAAGGGGTCCGAAGCAATATTACTTAGTCCCGATAATGTACAATTCAATACTAGTTACAAAAATTTCTGTTGGTTCCTTGATATGTGCAAATCAGCAATGGAAATAAATAAAGTTACCCAGCGCCCATCATTTGATCCGTACCTCTGGCACCGCCGTCTCGGACACACAAGTGAGAAAGTAGTGAAGGAGTATTTGAGCTTGCACTATCCCGATGAAATCCACAAGAAGACGTGGAAATCATTCTTCTGCGAACAATGTGCAACCTCTAAGAGCATTGACAAGAAATCACCTGGAGCAAACTCACTGATCCCGTGCGACAACCCACTTGACTTAATGGTATCGGATGTCGCTGGCCCTTTCATATTGGACATGTCTGGGAGGAAGTACATGCTGACAATGCGTGATCATGCGTCGACCTACATTTGGAATACGACTCTCATAACCAGAGACGAAGTGCCAGACAAGATCATGATTTGGATGGAACACATCAAAACCAGATTCGGACGCTATCCCAAGCATTTCAGATGTGACAATGCTCCTGAATTCACGGTATCGCTAAAGAAGAGACTGAAACCTCTTGGCGTCAGCATGGCACCTTCGGCGCCATACTGTCCAGAACAGAACGGTGAAGCTGAGCAAGTCAACCGCACACTTGGGGATATGGCCCGGACAATGCTACATGAAAGTGGAATGCCTAAACCGTGGTGGTCCCATGCATACCTTGCCGCCGCGTACATCTACAACAGGATACCAAATAGCAAAGTTTCTACGTCACCATTGGAAAAATTATACAATGTCGACATAAATCCTGATTGCCTATATCCTTTTGGTGCAAAAGCGATTGTCCATGTACCTACCGAACGACGTGACAAACTTGACCAGAGGGGCCATAACGCGATTTTGATTGGATATCCTTTGGCAGGCGCCGGCTGGATACTGTGGTCTTTGGAAGAGAAGAGGATCCTCCACTCTACGTCAGTTATCTTCCCGGAATTCCAACATCTACCTGTCCGACCGGCAAAGAAGAACGATCTTGACTTCATTCTGAACCAAATCGTACTAAAACTGGGTGAGGAAGAAACTGAAATTATGGCTGAAGAAGAGAAGAAAATGATAGCGGAACTCGACATTTCTGAAGACCGCCTCTTACCTCGAACCATAAAGCAAGCACTCAAATGTGACCTGTCAAAACTGTGGTACCAAGCCGCTTCCTACGAGATTGATAAATTCTTTGATCTTGAAGTATGGGAGCCGCTTGACCCATTTCCAGGAGTGAAAACGTTAGGCTGCAGATGGGTTTTCGCCATCAAAACATCAACTGATGAGAATCAACCAGACATCTTCCGGGCACGATACGTGGCGAAAGGATTCAATCAGCAAGCGGGTGTTGACTGCAATGAGACATATGCACCGACGGCATCTCTAATTACCCTACGTCTATTAGTGTTGATTGCCAACAAACATTCCTACCCAACAGCAACATTTGATGTCAGTTCTGCGTACCTATACAGCCCTATAGAAGAAGAAGTCTACGTACAACCTCCGATTGAAATTCGACCTGAGCTGAAAGGAAAAATTATGCGATTGAAAAAGGCAATGTACGGTACCAAACAGGCGGCTAGATGCTGGTGGCAATTCTTCAAAAAGAAGATGGAAGAGATCGGATTTGAAGCTTCAGAACTAGAACCGTCCTTGTACATTTACCGAAAAGGAGCAGAATTCATCATCATATGGCTACATGTAGATGATGGTTTTGCCATGGCATCCAATAGGTATCTGATGGATCAACTCAAACAAGGAATGGAGAAGGAAATGTCGATCAAATGGTCAAGTGAAGTTAAGCGACTTGTGGGTATCAACATCGAGCAGAAAACAGGTGTGGTCGAAATGAATCAAGAACAACTTGCGAAGCAAATTGTGTCCGACTATAAACGGCCGGTATATACTCAAAGAAGCACACTTCCAGATGAGACATTAGAGATAAATCCAGGTGAACCTATAGGTCAAACAGACTATCGCTCCACCATTGGTTCTCTGATGTACTTAGCCTGTGGGACGCGACCGGACCTTTCTTACGCGGTCAACCTGTTAGCAAGATACTCCAACAATCCTTCTGATCAACACTGGAAGGCTATGGATTTTCTGATTGGCTATCTGAAGAGGACGACAGGAATGCGGTTAAAATTCACTGGGCAAGAGGACAGTCTGGACTTATGGTCGGATGCGAATTGGGGAGGAGAACACGAGAGGTCAACATCGGGACATGTCATAAAACACATGGGGGATAGTATTGCTTGGGGAGCAAAGAGGCAAGGAGTAGTAGCTCTATCTACGTGTGCTGCTGAATACATTGCTTTGTCGGATGGTTCCCAACACTTGGCAGCAGTATCAATACTACTAGAGGACATCCAACACCAGCTGAAAATGAACATCTTTTGCGACAACCAAACGGCCATCCTAATTGCGGGCGACAACGCGTCAAGAAAAAAGACAAGATACCTAATACGCGCTTTTTACTTCATCAACGACTTTGTCAGGACCAACAAAATCAAGATTCAATGGACCAGCACTATTCACCAGCAAGCAGATATTTTCACAAAAAAACTTGGTCCAAATAAAATGAGTCAGGCATCGAGAAAGCCAGGACTAATCGAGTGAAGTTTCCAACTGTAGGAGGGGGTGTTAGAGTTAGGGAGATACAGTTGTAAACTTACAGCATCAGTTAAACATAGTTACAGTAGTTTAGCAGCGCCAATCTTATATGTCATCACATGAAACCTAGTTGTGCTGCGCAGACCTTGTACTTAGTCTAACTTGTTCGGCAGCGTACCGGCCTCCTTCTTCCTTACCGAGTTGGAGACCGATACCCTGCCGTGCCGTGATTCTTATCGTCAGGTTAGTAGCAATTTACCTTACCGAGTTGGAGACCGATACCCTGCCGTGCCGAGCTGACCGTGACGTGATTCTTATCGTCAGATCACATTGATCATTTCTGATCTCTACAACTTGGAACACTGTCGAGAACTGGTTGCCGAATTCAACATCAAATTTCCGGATGCGGCGTCAAGACACAAGAGGTCACGGAGAATGAAGTGAGAGGGCAAGCTTTTTCCCGCTGGGTTTTTTAACGCTGCCCGGGGAAAGAATGCAGAGCCAAAAGAGGAGGATTTTTTTATTATTTTTATCCATAGTTAATTTTTTTTTTTTTCTTTAGACCAACAAAGGGGGCGGCTTGGGCATTAAAGGGGGGATAGTGTTATGAGCTGTAGAGGACTGGAACTGGGGACGTTACATATGTAGAGAGCCTGTTACGTACATGTCACGAACTTCGAACTTGGAGTTCGTTCGAGATCCGAACCTTGTACATTCCTCATCTTGCAATCTACCATTACAAACCAGAACTCAGAAGATCCTGTCCTGATCCCCTCAGAAGAACCCTAACACCTACTCAGAGACCAGGACAGAAACACCCAGAACACCATCCTCAAAACCTTGAAAATCAAGCCTGAAAACTCACCTCCCAAAACTTCCAGGACGCCCCAGCGTGGCTCTAGACCTCAAAGACCCCCCCCCCCCCCCAGCGCGCCCTAAGGCCCCCAAGAAGCCCCTCAGAGTGCCCCAGAGCCCCATTGAAGCCCCTGAAACCCCCCAAAAAAAGGAGCGAAGGAAATTTTGACCCCCTAAACCCCCAGATCCCACTGAAATATACCCTGAAACCCCTGTAAGAACCCCTGAACACCCCTTCAGGACCCAAAGGAGGACACCTAGTGCCTCAGAACCTTCAGGACCCCCGCAAGAACCCCAGAACCCCCAGAAAACCCCCAGAAAACCCTCTTAAACACCTGAGACACCCCAAGACCCCCAGAGCCCCCCCTGAACACCCAGAACACTCCCTGAAAGACCCCAGGACCCCCCAAGACACCCCAGATCCCCAAAGAGAGCTCACACAAGCAGTTCGGAGAGGCGTAAAAGTACAAAAGTAAGCCTCCACAATTTTATTTGCACCTTCCAAAGTCACTACACACTGTCAAAGCATTACCTGCCACTCTGTGAGCCACCCTATGCTGTTTTGCTATGGACATAGACACCCAGGACACCAAAGTTGCCAAGCTCCAACAGAAGATGACCGAACTCATGGCCGTGGTCCAGGAGGAATGCAAGGTTTGGAAGGAGGAGGAGGAGTGTTTAGCCAGGAAGGAGGCCCAATTGGCAAAGGCCCTGAAGACCGCCAACAATAAACCGCAAGCACCAGCCCCGCCAGCCAAAGGCCCTGAGATTGGCGTCCCCAATATGGAACTACTCTTGGGAGGAATAGAGCTTGAGAGGGATGAGTGCTTTATTGGGCTGCCTCTCTGATAACAAGAAAAGATAAGAGTATGGACTCTTAAGGAAAAAGGTGTGGCTGTGGAGATTTCTTGAGGATGGTATGTCTAATATTTCTTATGGTTACTAGTCTAAATAAACTTGTCACAAATCAAGGTATCCCAAATGTTGATGAGCATATACCTGACTAATAGTGGGTGATCAGTTATCTGAATTGCTGGGGCAGGCTCTGATGAGGAACAAATGAAGAGGAAAAACAAAGCTCCTTATATAAAAGATTCTGGGGAGTGGCCAATTTGTGGTTGGAAGATGGATGGAACAAAATGGAACAAAGAATGAACAAGGAAGAAAATTGTAACTATGAACAATGTGGCCTAATTTAGTGTGGCAATAAGATAAGATAAGGCTAAACTGAAACCAAAGAAAGGGCCAAGCTAAGATAAGCTAATGAATTCATTCTGAAACAGAGAGAGACTTGGATAATATTATCAAGGGGAAGAGGTGGGGGTAATTATTTCACCCAGATGGGCCAGACCCTCTCAATGTACCATCTCTGGTTTTGACGGTTCCTCAAGTTACTCTTCCTTTGATATCCACCTGACTCTCGACACTAACCCATCCCCTTCCCCATTCATCATCACTCGCCTGAAATACTCTTACAATGGAATCCTTGTCATGCCTTGGATCTGTAAGCATGGACACCTTATTGATTGGACTAACCAAAAATTCAGGAAAAACCCACATGATTTTGCAGCTGTTGATGCAGCTTCGTCAATTCCAAAGAAACCCTCACGTGATGGCATGGAGCCCGTGAGGCAAGCTAGGATTTTTGACGAGGGTGTGTGTGTCTCTGACACATTAACACCCCTGCAATGTGAGTTTGATGCGGTCCCTTCCATGAATCTTGTTGAAACAGCTGGCAAGCCTCTTCCTCTCCTAGAATTTGTTCCAACCGCAGATGTCAGCGCTGTGAAAGCCTCTTGGTCAACATCGGCTCAACTTGCGGCGGACAACAAGGCCAAGACTCTGGTGAAGACGGCAGATGCAGGCGCATGCATAAAGGTAAGATGCTAATCCCCAAGTGGGTGCATTAGTGTGAAACAGAGAGATAAGAGAAAGAGGAGTGCATATGCAGCAGCTCCAGGAAGGGAAAGAATGAAGCAAGAGAAAACAAGCAGGGTCTCTAATACCCTGGCTCTGTCTGAGGGGTGAATTTCTCCCCCCACCCCCCAACGTGTGGTCTGGGTGTCTTGCAGTTGCTGTCTGGCCTAAGGGCCACGGTGTTTGGGGCCTTCTTGTCCTGATTGCACGGTGCATTGAGGCCTTGAGGTTTTGATCTGGCTCACCACACTGTTACAATTCCGCTGCTGAAAATTGGTGTATCCATGGCATTGGCCCGCCACCTGCTGATAAAATGATTAGCATTCCTTATTAGCATTGGATTATGTTGGAAAATGAAAGAGGTTTCCTGATTTCATACTTTTCCTTCCCACTTGCAGCAACAATTCATTGATTGTATCACCACCTTTGCCCTAACAAGGACAAGCCTGGATGGATGTTGGTAACTTCCAATGGAAGCTTTCAAGTCTTAATAACTGCTGGAACAACCAGTTTTCAACAGTTTCAAGAGGATATCCTGGCCAAATGTAACAAGAGATTTGAAGACTCAGGAGGATTAATCCGTAATTCAATGGCGACCCACTCTCCGTGTGTCAATTGAAGGATTTCTATGAAGCTAAAAGGGGTCAAAGAGTTCAAGAATTTGGCAAGTTATACTGTCAAAAACTTTCATCCTTCACCCACTGGATCAACAGAGTCTTCGAAAGTGGCCAAGACACCAACTTGGCTACCTTGGAGATTGTAATGCAAAATCCAACAACTGCAGTGAAGAAAGCCACAAAGGCCATGTATGTTAAAAGCCATTTGCTGACCCAGGAGGCTGCTCAAAAGGCCGGTCACCCCAACAAACAGGTCAAAGCAGCAACAATCCAACTAGCGAGTTCAACCCCATCAATGTCTCGATGAATCAGCTTTACAAACTCCACCCGGCAAATATCAAATATAATGATGATATTCCCATATTTATCCATCCAACTGAAAGCAGTCAATTCATACCATTGACTCAAGCTGCTATTGAGAAATGGGCATAAGAAATTGTGAGCCAACTGGGTTTGATTATTATTACGGTGTATGTTTGCTGATTAATTGTATTATTGGTTTTAGTTGAAACCGGTTGCAGGAGTCAATCTCCACTCACCCCCGCCAGAATTTGTTTATGAGAAAAAGGAAACGACTCAACAAAGAAAGTCAATTTAGCCGGGCTTCATCACCAAACTCTGACATATCCTTGGTTGCCACATGCGACAATACATGGACTTTGCCACATGCGACAATACATGGACTTTTTGAAAATCAACCCCCCGATTCGTGATGAAGTCCTTACCATCTTGAGAATAAATGCTATCACAAATCCGAAGTTATTCCAATCGGAGAACATAACTCAAGATCAGATGATTGGCTGGGGATTATTGGATGGAATTTTAGCTCAATCAAGAGACAATGTCTGCAAATTCCAAAAATCTTGCTCTGCTAGTTAATCTATTCATTTTTTTTCTTTCAATTTGATCAATACCATTCACAATTTTCTTCTTTTATCATTTGTAGTCTAATCATGTCAAACTTACCCCAACTTTAGTTTTATTATTTTTCAGAATTTAGCTATCCTTTATCTTACGGCACACATATGCCTCGCCCAGATCACACAATGACTCTTTATCATTATTATCATCTTACTCCTTAACATAACTTACCCAGATCACATGATTGCATCAATCCGTACATGTTGTACAGCTTGCTTAGCTTAAACACAGATCACACTTCATTAAGGAAGGTGAATTTCTGATCAATCAAATGTGTGCTGTTTTACCCCAAATATCTTTGATATTGTTATTCTTACCAGTGAAACTGGGACATCGAGACTCTCAGCTATTAAAAGACAATAAAATCAGACTTGTTAAATTTTTGATAGCAGAAATGACAATCCTGCATGGAAGGTCACCAGGTAGTGGTGGAGAACTGTTCCAGATCAGATAACTGCAAAGTGTTTCAAATTGATTGCAAAATTTCCCAATAGATAAATGGTAGCAGAGTATGAAATCCTGAACACAAGAGTAAGATCAATGGGCTTTGCTGTGTGTAGGTTAGGTATGTGTAGTACAAAGAATTGAACAAAAGTGTTCAAAGCAGCTTAACAAAAAACAGTAGTAAGAATTCTCAGACATTAGAGGGTATCAAATATAAGAAATCCACCATTAGAAACCAGTCAATTTTCCAAAAATAAAATTTTGCATCAATGGGCCCCCAAAGGGGTCAAATGAGGAACTGACATGTTTAAAAAATGGTGGATTTTTCAAAACTAGTCAATTAAAAAGTGGTGGATTTGGTTATATTTGATACCATTGTTGGAACTGAACAAAAAATCAGGAAGTCACAAAAAGGTGAATAATTCAGTGTCTAATTAAGAAAACATTGAGCAGGGAAATGATTGTATCTTCCAAACTCTTAGTTAGCAGGAACACAATAACCACAATTTTGGTAAAGTTTTTAGCAAAGCTGAGCAGTCATCACACCTACAGCAACTCAACAAATTGTGAATTCTGGGTTGTTGGTTTGATTAAGGATCTGTGATGCTTGTAATTCCTGTTTGACCACAGCAAAACACAACTCAATTGGATTTAATTCCGGGCAGTATGGAGGAAGGTACATTAGTCGGACCCCTGCAGCATCTCAGAGCCGCTTCACCCGTTTGCCGCAATGATAGGTAGCATTGTTGCAAACCAGAACGGAGTTAACACCAGGGTATCAATTCATTTGGGGTAGCTGTAGAGAATGATATCAGCTAGACAGTACAATCCAATCATCAAGATTTGACTTACCAAGTCAAACTCCAGGAAATGTTCAAACTTGCAACCATTGAACATCTTAAACATGGTGGTGAGAGTCACCAGTCCTCTGATTGAGATTGCTGGTATTAGTTTCAAGCAGTTGGCATTCTGATTGATGATGAACCACTCTGAGGGGGTGCCTTGCTTTGACCTGGCAAATGCTCAAAGCAAGTCCTTGTCACAGAACCCACTTTCATCTGAGAAGCAAAGTCAGTGGATTTTGAACACGGTAGGGAAAACAAACACTAAAAACTTACCTGTAAAGACAAGAGGAAAAAGCAGCATCTTTTCAATTTATGCATACTTTGCCACAAGAGACTTTTGAGCATTCTTAGTTTCAGGTTTTTTCAACGTGATCAATAACCGATCAACAAGGTTTTGGTGGATACCTGCAGTACTGAGGAAGACACCAGAAGAATTGTGCAACTTTTCTCTGATTTCCTTTAGAAACAGGCCTGGTTCGGATTGGACCAATCCTATCATGAATTTGTGATCCTCTGAGGAGAGGCTTGCAGGTTGGCTGTGGGCCTCGTAAGTGTCCGGGTCTTTGACTACACATCATGTTTCTTTGTAGAGTTCTAGCCAGTGACAGAAAGACTGTCAAGAAAACTTTGAACCCAGCATGTTCCGGATGGATGGAAAACATACTCCCTGAAGCGCCATGTGGACTGTCGCAATCTTGGTGGCCGCTGCATGTCAGAAATAAACCATTGTAATTTGTGATCAGTAGTGGCCGGTTTTGTTGGACTGAGAGACTATAGGCGCTTTTTGTTGGACTCAAGAGGCAAAATTTGGTTTTGAGGTGAATATGGAGGCGTCTGGGAAGGCTTGAACGGTCACCTGCTCAGTCACAGCAGAATGGCTACCATCATTGATTGAGGGCTGTGCAAGTCAGAAACTACAAGATTCAATGTGTGCTGTGAACACTAAGGACATAAATTTACGGTCCAAAGTCCAAGCTATCCTCTAAACCCAATACAACTACTGGCTGTTTGATTTGATTTGCAATAAATATAACTCGTTGTGTCACCACAATTATGAAGGTACTGGCTGATTTGACTCTGGCTGTCTTACTCTCTAAAGAGGCAGTATGCAATTGGGAAGATCAACCAGTTCCAGGAAAACCAAAGCATATGAGCTTACTTTGGAGGAGCAAAGCGTTCACTTTATGCTTGGATAAACTGGGTCAGATTTCCTTGAAAGTGAACAAAACAACTGCTGAAATGAAGAGTATCCCTAAGCTTATGGACCGTAGTCTTAATGAAATTAAAAGAATTGATGACTCCACTGGCGCCTGTCCCCAGAATACTTCCAATTGATGCCTACAATGCAAAATTCCTTCAAAGTATCTCCCAAATTGAAAAATAAAACCTGGACCCTTAGAAGGAAATTGGTCTGGAGGCCAAAGCCAGGATGTTAAACCAGATGAAAGTGAGGCTTGGACCAAATGTGAGTGCAATTCCCAGGGAAAGTATTGGGGATCTTGGATTTGGTAATTTTCCTGGCCCTAGTAGAGGCAGTCGAGTATGTCCTGTTCTGTTTTTGAATCAAATAAAAAAGAACTGACTTGGGTGTTGCAGAATTATATGAATTGACATGGGACCACAATCTACCTTGTGTAATGCCTCTTAAGCCCGCCAGGCTTGTCAATTTGACATTGAGCCCGCTGATCTTGAAATACATATGTGCTAATTTTGCCTTTTTTCCAGACTCTTCACAGGTGTTTTATTATAACCAAGATTAAGCCAGCTGGCCTTAATCATTAATATGAAGTTCCCAAATTAGACTTTGAAACAATCCAAAGCTCAGATATCATCTACCAACAATGAGAGTAATACTCCTGGCCATCACTCAAAAAAAAACACTGTCCCAGTACTCAAATTCAAGATGAAGCCCCATCTGGCAAGGAATCCAACATAGGTTAATCATTCCAGGATTTGCCTTCATTTACAGCAGTCAGGTGCAAGATAAAAATGCACTGTCACTATTGCTTTTTGCTTTGCTATCCATGGCTGTGAGTTTGTTCTGTAATTTTCTGCCTTCTGATCAAACATAGAGAATCATCAGATAAAGTCACTGATGATATAATTTTCCTTTATTAGGGGGTTTCAAAGTTGATTTTTGAACACTGTTGTGGGATGCTTTATGGTATACCATATAGCTCAATTAAATTTTTCTATTCATCTTCTCTTTTTTCTCTAGTTTACTCCATTTTCTCTTTAGTTATCACTTCATATTTCTACAGAATCAAACTCTAAGGCTCAAAATACCCTTACTAGCCACTTACAGTTTATTCATAGCTCTACTCTCTCACACTCTACATCATTACTGGCACTGACACCCATCATTTACAACCCTCAAGGATAGATAGACAGGACATCACATACACAGACATGCACACAGGCAAGGAATGACTGGCCTGCATGACCAATACAAAAGTATACATGCAGGTGCAGCAGGTTGCAGCAAGGCGCATAAGTCCTGCATGACCAATACAAAAGTATACATGCAGCCACAGCCGCTTGCATGAGTGGCTTGTCACTGCCTAGCAACTGAATATTACATCATCATTAACCTTACACAACCCTGCAGGATACACATCAAGTCCTGACCAATCACAAGCACTCATTCAGACTGCAGCAAACCTCACACAGAGCTGTACAGTATGTAGACAGTGAAAAGTGACTGCTTATTTTGGATTCCAGAGCTCCAAAACACAAATTTGAAATCATGAGACTTGGACAGGTGGTGCATAATAGTTCCCAAAAAATGAATATGAAAAAAATAAAAGCAAAAAATAAAGTTTCAAAATTTGTGAAAAGTAAAAAATGAAATTGATTTTTTTCAAGGGCATTAATAAAAAAAAACAGTTTTTCCGCGTTTACACACGGTTTTGCTGCAGCACAGCACACGCGGTTTCCGCATTTAAACACGGTTTTGTAATTAACTTTTTACCACTTATTTTTTGAGTTTTTTCGAATTTTTAAAAAATTTTCCTACACTTTGAAGGGTGTAGAATTTAATGGTAAAGTCCATTTCCCATAAAAATGACTTTGACTTTTTTTTTCTGCTCACTCATTTCTACAATTAACTGTTACTGGCTTGTTTTTCACTATTTTTTGATATTGTAAAATTGTTTCCTACACTTTGAAAGGTGTAGAATTCAATGGTAATATTTATTTTGCATAAAAATGATTTGTAATTTTTGTTCCCACTCATTTTTTCAATTAATTGTTAGCGGCTTGTTTTTCATTATTTTTTGACATTGTAAATTTGTTTCCTACACTTTTTTTTCAATTAATTGTTAGCGGCTTGTTTTTCATTATTTTTTGACATTGTAAATTTGTTTCCTACACTTTGAAAGGTGTAGAATTTAATGGTAAAATTTATTTATCATAAAAATGATTCCTTTCCCTTTTAATTTTTGCTCCCACTCATTTTATTGATGCAAGCACTGTAGAAAGTTCCCAGTGGTTATTCAACCTTCCAAACTTGAATTTCTCAAAGGAAAAAGGACAAAAAATGCTATAATATCATAATGCGGCCAAATTTGGATTTGAAAAAGAGTTTGGGAATAAACAGGTGTATTGTGGATTTTAAAATGAGAAGAGGGACAATAGCAGGAAATCAGAGGAAGGTACGGAGGACAGTAATGAATAAAAAAATTGATCAACATCAACAGGAGCCTTTTTGAAGCACAAAGATCTTCTGACAGGTGGGTACAAGACCTCTTGACCCAGTTCAATGTGGGCTTGAATCCAATCCTCCCAACCCAGTGCTTCATCCCTGACATAGTGTCTCCAAAATGTATCAATCCTGGGGCATGGCCATATTTCAGTCTTGAAAGTGAAAGAAATGAAATGAGAATAGTCAGGTAAAAGGATCAGACAGATTGGAGGGTTGTTTTTTGGAGTATGAGAAAGAGGAAGATAAGTGGCAGGCATCTTTTCCAAAAATAAAATAACCGGTCTTTGGTACGTATCAGCAATTAAATAACCATGTGCGGGGAACGTCATCCAGTACTTGAGGGGGGCTTGATGTTCCTTGTCTCTCCATGCGAGAGAATTGGTGATGTCTTTTTGGTTGTCCCCTGCTCCCCATACATTATCCAAAAACCTTTGGTCTGAATAGGCCTTGTTCGACTCGAATTCCTTCTGCATTTCCTCGCTGATTGAGTCCCATTTGTCAGACTGGTGTCCCAAGCTGACCACAACCGCTCGGAAGCCACAATTCCCATTGCCTTTGAAGTAGTGAACGTGTAAGATATGTGGGATGGCTCCTGCTGGCTTGATGCTGTCTTTGTGCTTATGAGGGAAACAGAGGGGATGAACAATCTGAAAAAGAAGTAAGTAGATGAGTACTCACAAGATCAATCTCCACATTCTTGTGTGTACTCCAAGTAAGTGCCTTGCTCAAAGGAGTTTTGTCATCTTCGTCCGCTTTGGTGGTGGGTTTGGGTTTTTCCAAGACCACTTTGATTGGCCTAATTCGCAAGGGATTCTTTACGGTTGAGCGATTGGGTTCTTCTTCCAAATGCTCCTTGTCAGTGAATATGTTTTCACAAAAGCCTCCAATGCCATCTGAAGGATTATCCTCACTCTCTTTGTCTGTTTCCATGGCCTACTCAAAAATGATTCAGAAGAAGGAAAAATCTTCAGAAGGATGTAAGCAATGCACACCTCTGACCCATCCATGTCATCCTTTTTTGGTTTTTTTGTTGGCCACCCAGGTTTGCGCTTGGGCCCCTTGTCCAATTTGGCCACCTTCTTTGGCCTGCCTCGTTTCTTCTTCTGCGCCTCAACATACTCAAATCCAGATGGGTCCCTCTTGGTTGAAGACTTCGATTTTTGTTTCCGTTTGGAGCCTTTGGGTCGGCCTTTGAATCAATGGTTCTTATCAAACCTGGGTTCCTCAAGTGCAATGGTTGCATGTGTTCCGTCAAGGAGTTTGTGAATTTTGCCTAGCATGAAGTGTTGTTTGCCAGGTTGAAGGGATTGGAATTTTTGAAATACGTTGCTGAGGAATGTGTCTTCATGGTTCTTCTGCTTTGTCTCTGTGGTGTCTTGGTTTTTGCCAAGTTGCACCTGTCAAATGATCAGTTGAATGGACAAAAAAAATCAGATACCTTGTGAAAATGTGTGTTGGATCCTCTTGATGATAAACAAATAAGGAACTTACAGCTAGATCACTATTGACATGCCACTGAGCATGGAAATCATCTTTGGTGAACTTTTCCCCCTCACGCTTGGCATTGTGGACTTGGTGGATGCAAGGAATCCCCATGTAAGATGAGTAGTTACCTGTACATGTGGTTGTTGGAGCCTCGGCCAAGTGAAATGAGTCAACAATCTTCAAGGCAAAGTGGGAGATGATTCCGTTAAGATTGGCAATCAACGGAGGTAGGCCAGTAAGTCTTTTGTATTGATGCTGCACAGACTCAATGTATCTTTCATGGAGCTGGCTGTCAATGGCCTGGTGAATTTGCTTGATTACTGCTGCAAAGGAGCCTGTTGAGGAGTTGATGAATCATTTCAGGTATGCGTGGAGACTTTCAACTCTAGACGTGATGTGGTTACCAAAGTGCGGGTGCCAATTGATCAAGTATGCGACAAAGTTCTCCTTCAGAGGAAGTACAACCAAGATCAAGTACGCGGCCGTATCTGGATTCCAAGTTTTGGAGAGCTTGGCGTAATTCTCCTTGTACTCTTTCAATGTGGGCGACAGTCTCAATTTCTTCCATGCCGTTTCAAATTTTGCCCATTTCTCCTTGCTGCTGAAATGCTTCTGGCAATTCTTTTTGATGTTCTTGAAAATGTGCCAAGAGCACAGGATATGGGCGGCATTCGGGCAGACTTTCTTAATTGCATTTATGACTGTTTGTTCATGGTTGGTGACAATGACTGAGGGTGATTCTTTATCCATTGCTAGATGGAGACTCTCCAGGGCCCACATGTAGTTCGGTTCTTTTTTGGCCAAGAGAAAACACATAGCAACAGTGAACAACCTATTGCAGGAATTTATTCCAACAACATGCGGTACTTGTTTGTTTTGTAAGCAATTGAGGAGGATCGTGTTCAGGAAGCGTTTGAATAATTCCAGTGAACGGGGGTGAGCCAAAAAGAACAAGGTCATGTGACCTTCAACACTGTCCATCATGAAGTAGAATTGGTGTTGGAGGATTTGATGCACAATGGCCTCAAGCAGTGTTAGTCCATCAAGCTTTAATCTTCAGGGGTGCAACACCAGCGTTGGTTAGTTTGGTGACCTTTTCTTTTTGTGATTCAGTCAAACGTTGATGGATCAGATGAACGTATGGATCCTCCAAAGCTGGGTGGTTGTGATTTGCATTCTTGATCTTGATTCTGTAGTGTCCCTCCCTCTTGTAGAAGTTGCCCAACATTTCAAAGGGACATCCAATCCTCTTTGATTTGCCCAACTTCTCAGGGTTTGATGCCCCTGGTTGGCCAGATAGGTTGCATCTATAAGTAAGTGACTTGGTCCTCCCCATTGTACTGTGTAGTGTTTCTCTTGAAAATGGCATACCCATGCTCCAAGGCCCACCATTGTGCAGTGTCCTTGTTGCATAAGATGACTCGGGAGGCGGCGTAAGGGAATGAAGACTGGCAGACGGAGCGGTCAACAGAGCAGCTGTAGACGCAGTTTCAAGAAGTGGGGTGACATCGTCTTGAGATGTACTGAGTGAAAGAATTTGGAAAAATGAAGATGTTTTATTTCTTGTAAGTTAAAATAATCTTTTAATAAATACAAGTTTTTTGACATGATTGGTTAGCATCAATATTAATTGTTTTTCTTTTTATGAATAATAAAGGCAAACAGTCAAGCAAGAACATTACTTGATTGGATAGTATGATTGCCTTATTTCATGAATCACTTTGCTTAGTTATTGCTGATAACGGAATCTAAATTTAATAACGATTAAAGTATTCCTTTGATCAGTTCTCTTTCACATAATGAAAGGCTAGGGTCATTACTCACCGAGTATTGGTGGAAAAATTTGGTCGGCCAATTTGCTTGTTGAGGCATTTGTGATTCAAGAGCTAGAATGAGATGTTGATGTTCTGAGGAATGAAGCTGAAATTGATTAGGATTTTCATCTTTGATCCTTGGATCATGATCATCAAAACTCACTTAGAGTTTGATGATCTGCTCATCTCATTATCTAGACTCATGACGTCAGTGACATCATGATTCAAATCACAAGCCGTTTGCTTGGTGTTATCTTGCTCATCAAGTGAGCAGCTAGTATCTATTTATGATCAATAAGATTTTGATTTTCTAGATAGATTGATAACTAAAAGATATCAACCTACCCACACCTCTCCTTTTGCAAAGGATAACGCTTGAAGCGTGATTCCAACAATGAGGAGGGTGTTCATGTGAGATTCAGATGTCTCCTCAGATGTTGCAGCAGAAAGAAGGAGGGGGTTGATGTGGCTTTGACTTTCAGACATGTTATCGAGGTGTTTGTTGAAGTTGAGTGATGATTTAAAAAAGACATAGGGTTCAACAAGGAAAAAAGAGATGGTAGCTGTTAACAGAATCAAGAAAGAATTTTTTTATGGCTTTCTAGAAGAAATTGGTTGAGAAGCACCTGAGTTATTCAGAGTTGGGGTTTGAGTCCCACCAGTGATGAAGTGATGAATTCAAAAAGGCAAGAGGTGTGTTGGCAAGATCAGAGATTGTGGATTTCAAGAAGGTCAAGAATGAATATTTTTGAAGGTTCTCTTGAAGAAATTGATCAAGAAACAGCTGAGTTATTCAGAGATGGGGTTTGACTCCTACTAGCAATCAATCAATGAATTAAAAAAACAAGAGGTCTGTCGGCAAAAAAGAAGAAAGTGGTGGTGAAGAGATTCAAGAAAGAAGATTATCAGTGTCTTGGTTGAACAGAATGGCTGAGAAACAGCTGAGTTATTCAGAGTTGAAGTTTAAGACCTACTAGAGTTCCGGCAATGATTTAAAAAAAACAGAAGGTCCAGCGGGAAAAACGTAGAAGGTGGGGGTGAATAGAGTCAAGAAATAAGATGATTGATGATTTTCCTGAAGAATTTGGTTGAGGATTGGCTGAGTTATTCAGAGTTGAAGTTTGAGTCCTACTAGCAATCAATCAATGAATCAAAAAAACGAGAGGTCCAGCGGGAAAAATGGAGACAGTGGTGGTGAAGAGAGTCGAGAAAGAAAATTATTGGTGTTTTGATTGAAGAAAATAGTTGAGAAACAGCTGAGTTATTCCAAGTTGAAGTTTAAGACCTAGTAGAGTTCCAGCAATGATTTTAAAAAAACAAGAGGTCCAGCGGCAAAAAACAGGGATGGTGGAGGTCAAGAGGATCAAGAAAGAAGATGATTGATGATTTTCTTGAAGAATTTGGTTGAGGATTGGCTGAGTTATTCAGAGTTGAAGTTTGAGTCCTACTAGTGTTCCAGCAAAGATAAAAAAAATACGAGAGGTCCAGCAGCAAAAAATGGAGACTGTAGTGGTGAATAGGATCAAGAAACAAGATGATTGATGGCTTTCTTGAAGAATTTGGTTGAGAAATGCCTGAGTTATTCAGAGTTGAAGTTTGAGCCCTAACAATGAGTTAAAAAAAACAAGAGATGGATCAGCAAAATTGAAGACCCTGGCAGTGAAAAGGATAAAAAATTGATTCTTTTAGTATTTCTTTTTTTGGGTATTTTGGTTGAGAAATGGCCAATTTATGAGCTTTTGAAGTTTAGAGTGTACAGTCGGTAGACAGTGAAAAGTGGCTGTTTATTTTGGATTCCAGAGCTCCAAGATACAAATTTGAAGTCATGAGACTTGGTCAAGTGGTGCAGAATAGGTTCTAAAAAATGAATATGAAAAAATAAAAACCAAAAACAAAGTTATAAAAGTTGTGAAAAATAAAAAACAAAATTTATTTTTCTCAAAAGCTTTGAAATTCATTTTGGGGGAGTGAGAGTGCTGAGAAAGGAAGATTGGGATATTAGATAAAGCATTATAAATAAATTTTTTGGAAAAATTGCTTTCCAGATGGCTTCAAACAGCTGTTGAGTGGGGCATTCACCAGCCCACATTGCAGTAAAGCACTAGAATTTACTGTTTTGGCTCCAATCTGGACAACCAACCTGGACAAACCTTTTTTGGTTCCAATTTTTTCAATTTATAATCATTCTTCCCATGTTCCATTCTTTCTGTCTCTCAGCACTCCCACTCCCCCAAAATGAATATCAAAGCTTTTGAAAAAAAATCAATTTTATTTTTTATTTTTCACAAATTTTGAAGCTTTATTTTTTGCTTTTATTATTTCATATTCATTTTTGGGACCTATTATGCACCACCTGACCAAGTCCCATGACTTCAATTTTGTGTTGCAGAGCTCTGGAATCCAAAATAAGCAGCCACTTTTCACTGTCTACCCACTGTACAATTCTGACCAATCACATTCAACCATTCAACATATGTATTCCTCATGTACCTAGTCACACTGCCTCATGTAGTGCCCCCCTTGGGTCCAAAATACCTCACTCTTGCCTATACAAGGAGGCTCTCCTCCCCCCAGTTGTATCTTTTTTTCTTTTCCTCAGCAGAGTCCTGCACCAGTGTTTCCCCTATAACATTACCAACCTGCTCAACCATTATTATACCCTTATATATATTTTACTTACATACTTACCAAACACCATTGAAATAACAATTAGTACACACTTCTCAACACATATATAAATACCACCCCTTATTTTGGATCCCCTTCACCCAACTTGCACCTGGTCAAAGCCTTGGCTCTTTTCTTACATATAATTACATATAAATACCTTACTCCACATACCATCCACGGCTCAGACAACAGTTATATTTTGATAACACTCCACTATCACTATATAAACCTGCCAATCTGAGATTGGTGGGCTTGTTTTAGTGTTTAGTGAACCAGGAAAGGCAGAGGCAACCTCACACATCCCTTTCCGCACTCAGCAAAAGGTTTTCAGAAATACTTTTGAGCTTAACACCGTTCTACACAAAATCATAAAGCTCACCAAAGTTTTGAGAAGTGTTCCAAACAGAGAATAATTTGAAGTTCCAGAAAACTGAAATTTTGACCCTCTTGAGCTTATGATTTCATGTGGAATGCTGTTTAAAGATCAACTTTGAATCCCACTATTGAAGGCAAGGCCAGCTGTCTTTCAAGTGCAAGTGGTTCAGTAGTCCCTACAAGAAGGGTCAAGGAATAAAATCAAAGCTGTACAAGCACTGTGATCGAAATAAAAAGTTTCCACCCTTCTCAGAACAATTGGAAGCCACTGAGGCGGGGTGCAAATTGCCATTGTCAAAGAAATATATCAAAGAGAAGAACAATGATCAGAACTGAAGCAAGCTCAGGGGATCTCTGACACACGCTGCCTTTGACAACAGGGTCTTCAATCAAATCCTGGCAATCTGACTGATTCAATATTCTTTGCCCTGGAGCTGGTTTGACAAATTCCTACTTGAAAATAATTTCAATTACATCAGGAAAGGTGTCCACATCTATTCTTGGATTTGGGCTGCCACTGAGGCAAATTGTCTCTATATGAATTTACAGAGCCAAGGGATTACAAGCTTACAAGTGGGTTAATCCCTCAAAGATATGTGTTATTTGGAAGCACTCATCTGACTTTAGACATGATTCTGATTTTCCAGAAACTCAGCTCTAAATTTACCCTGATCCACAATGTCTGGACCACTAAAGGCAATCACCACACATTCCTTGAGATATCAGTTGCTTACATCACTGATGATTGGATCTTCAAACTCTTGCATCTTGGGATGAAGCACATGAACATCCAGCCTCAAGGGAAAGCTTTTAGCAATCCCATTTGCAAAAATTCTGAAGAAGCCAAAAATTCAAAAGAAGATGCATCCAGTTCTTTGGTAATTTTTTTGCTGGTCTGATCAGATGAACCAACAAAATTTTCTTATTTCAATACATCTTGGCTCAGATAACTGACTCTGAATGAAACAACTTCACCATGGCTTCTGAAGTTGACAGGCCCATGATCAAAAGTACTGGCATCAATCTTCACCTTTCCAAAAACCACATCCAGTTTTTCTGCCACAAGATCACACTCATCCTTAATGCTGGTCTCAAATCAACTCAACTATCAACCAGCGGATTGGTTCTATCTCAAGACAAAAATCTTGGCTTTGTCCCTAGACTTGCCCCAATCATTGAAGAGTCTGAAGACATCAAAGGGGTTCCTCAGTTTACTGTCAAGGATGGTATCTTAGGAGCCAACTACAATTATCAAGTGGAACACAAGGTCAATGACAAGGATTTAATAGATGGAAGGTATAGTGCAGACCCAGAATCCTGGTAAAAAGCTGAAGAAGGAAAGAATCCACTTGATAAAATCAAGGTAAATCAATTACGGCATGAGTTTGAATTTCTTGATATTGAATTAATTTTGATTGTTACTAATCTTAAATAAACTTATGGTGTTGCAAGCCCGTCTGGGCACACACCAAAGTTTGGCCAAAAAAAGGCCAAGCGCGCTGGGCTAGAGATGGTCGTGTTGAATCCGGATATCCGCTCAAGATTTCAGCAGAATCACGCATCTGCATCCACAGGCTGGTATCCGCTGGCGCTGGCGGGTATCTGTGCGGATATCTGCGGATACCCGCCCTTTTACAGGTCAACTATTGCTAGCTGGAAGGATAACCTTCCAGCAGGGAATTTTTTTTCAAAAAAAAAGAAAAAAAAAAACCGCCCCCCCCTTGGCCTAGAGAGGCAGAGGCCACACCTTCGGGAGGGGTTCCTCCCAACGAGAGGCTATGTAAAACAGTTTGTTGGAAGGAATCCCTTACAACAAGCTGGTATGTACACCAGTTCTTCTGGAGGAATTGTTAGAGAGTGAGCTTGGGATAATCAATGATTTTCAATACAGAGGGTGGAAATCAAGACTACAATCTATCTACACATCTGTGACATGTGTCTCTGTCAAGACCTGACAGTATGTCACAACAGGAATCCCTCCCGGTGAGCTGGATTGTGTACCAGCTTGCCGGGAGGGATTCCTCCTGACGAGCTGGGATAAATACCCTCTCATCAGGAGGGGTTCCTCCCTACAAGAGTATATGTACAC